GATGTGGTGGACATCCTGATCCCCCAGACCTCCCCTCGATTTGCCGCCGATCTGTGGGATTTCGGATGTCTGGACCGGTCCAGCCTGTTTTGGTGATCCACGTTGGATGGCTAGAAGTGTCCGGACGACCTGGTTCGGACATTTGCGGGCATTTTGGTGATCCGCGTTGGAGATGCCCTTATTGTCTATTCAACGCGTGTGTTCCGCTTCGCTATTTGTTTAAATTATGGAGCTTTGTTAAAATCTTCACATGCAAATGTTACTTGAGGTAAGTAGTGAATAGTGCTGATGTTTAATTGCTCCTGTTGAATCCATTATGTTTGATTGGAAAAAACATCACCGGCATGTGTTAACACAGTATTTTCAAGTTATGTTGGCTTGCTAGTTGAGCATGTACAAAATGCTTGCAGGCGGTGCTTATTTCATGAATGTTTGCTATGGCAGAAAAGATTAATATCCGGTGTTATGTATTGTGATATGTTTAATACTTCCATGATCAAATGCTTGGTTTGTCAAGAATTACTCATTCACTTGGATGATTTTCAGCTAAACTGAGGTGGAGCAGAAAGAGACTTGTAATAATATTGGATGTGTGCTTTGAGCAATAAACTAAATTCGATAGTGTATGCATGTAAGCATATGGTACTCAAGTGATTTCCCTAGGTTATCTTAAGAATATTAGACTGGCTGCGATGTTTGTATACTTGTATTATCTTTGGAACTCGTGGTACTTTTGCAGCTGCAAGGTTATATGCACCATCAAGTTAGCATGGCCTACAGGCAATCATCAGGTCCCACCTTAGAGGCTATAAGCGCAGCTGATGTCCTAACTGTTTCCATTTCTATCCCATGGCAATATGTGTACTCTTAAACTTGATATATATTCAAGTATTAAATCGGCTATGGCTCGCTTGTAAACTGACCTATTTTTGAAATGTCTCCAGGATTATTGTGGCCATGGTGATAGCCTTTGAGAGCCTCATCTCTTGGTCAGTTCAGTTCCTCGTTTATTCTATCTTTCTATTTTAACTTTTCATCTTACTTATGCATCTGTACCATTCCAGGATGCCAATGTATGGAGAATTTAAGCTTGCTTTCTTTG